CACTTAAAAATTGACTTTTCAGCGAAACATTATCTGAGCTCATAAAAATTTGCTAAAATTGAGAACTACCCGTGATTTTAATAATTTTTATCTAAATGGAACAATTATTCCTAATTGGTGATTTTCAAAAGTGTTTAGCAACTTCCAAAATATTTAAGTTATTTGTCTGCTCTAAAGCCCGGATACTTCTTTACGGAAAGATGATATATATAGTTTGAATAAAATTATAGCTTTGCCTCAGGTGTATGGCATTTAAACTGTGGCTGTTTTTACTATCCTTGGCGAAAGAAATTCAAAAAGTACTGCTAACAAAGCTATTTGCCTCCTTAAAGCTGGGTATATAATTTTGCTGGGAGATTTCATTCTCACAGTTTGTAAATTGTAGGTTCGGTTACCTGCGAGTGCACCACTCATTTCTTTTATTTTCTCTTCCACTTGATCAGTGGTCGGAAAAACTTGGCAGTTCGGTTCCCTGCCCACTCATTTCCTCTAAAACACAAGGAATTTGATTAGTGATCTCAAAAACTGCATTATTTTTGTAGCTTGCTACAACTACTTTGTTACAAATGTAGTTAACTACAACTCCTTTTTTTTTTTTTTAAATTGAGTGACTACAAATTACTTTGAAATTTAGTATAAAAAAACTTATCTCTAGATAAGTGGATGGTTTTGAGAAAGATCTGAAATAGATATCGAGTAACCCTTTTGCTTTGAAAATCATTTTCACCAAGTTTCAGAATTAGTTACTAAGTTCGTCCACAGATGACGCTGGGAAAACTATAAAAAAAAATTCCTGCTGCGTAACAGATCATAGAAATCCCTTAATTTTGTCTTCAAAATGATCCTCAATTTTTGCTACTAATATCGGTCTTTTTTTTAAAAAATGTTTAATAATTTTTCCAAATCAGCATTAATAAGAATTTGTTTAACGTAATAAATAAATGAGAACGGAAATAGCATGAAATAATTTTGTTGATGATTACTATTTGTTGAAGAAGAATTGGTTGTTCGTGGGGAAACAATGCTTGAAGAAATATGAATCATTGTGGAAAATTATTATTGTCCAATTCTTTCATTCTATTGAAGAATAAGTTATATATTGATTGCAAAATTCTTTTATTTTTGGAAATATAGAGCCACAAAATAAAAATGTATCATCATTCTCTTATGTACATTGCGCACAAAAAAAAAAGGAAAATGATCACCCAGAATAACTTCTGGTCTAATGATCGTATTTTCACGTTCTAAAACTCAATCCTAATGGCACGAGGAGGTGACCTCAAATATGTTAATTAATAAGTGCAGACGATATTTTAAGTTACAAAATCAGATACAAAAACGTACTTTTTTTCGACCGTATTGGATTTTTAATTCCCAAGGTGTTGGGGTTAGCCGCAATCTAGAAGACAGGGTCCCAAAAGTTTGCTCAGCAGACCGCTCTAAAGCTGGAATCCCTTAAAGTTAATTTTATTTTTTGCGTATTTCGCTATTCCTCGAGAACTTTGTAAGCGAATTCAAAATTTTTTCAGCAGGCATTAAAATACCGAATAAATATAATATCAACGAATAAATTTATATCAAATCGAATGAAACAAATATTTTCGACATTCACCTATGCGGCTTCCTCTCCTCATTTTGGTTAATGTGAATTTTGCATGTTTGAAAATGGCATAAGTTCTAAAAGTTTCAAGGATGGTCTTTTTAAATTATTCTAACAGTTTTGCCTTGTCAAATCTTCCAAAACAATTGCTTCTAAATATTCTATGTTAACAATTGTTTGTTAACATAGAGCTATTCGGGAAAGAAAATTAGAAAATAAAATTATTTTTAAAAATGATAAAGATAAAAAAAAAATATCGAAACTTTTAAGATATTTGTGTCATGAACCCCAATGAAATGCATCGATATTTTAATCCGAAAACAATGTACCTTTTTCACGAGAAGACACTCAGATGCAAGTCTTGTCACTAAACACTCATACACACATCTTTTTTTTTCTCTTTTTTTTTTAACAATTTGAACACATACATTCTTTCATTTTCAGAGTCCACTGCACACGTTCAATCTTGCTTTGAAAAATAATCTCGATCCCAGAAAACAGTGGTTGATATAAAAGAACAGCAACATACTCTCCATTCCAGCAAAGTCATCGACCGAACCCCTTGTGATTTGAATTGTCTCTTATGTTTTATTCTACCCTCCAACCCCAAAGTTTTAAAACAAAAAAATGATTGTTATCGCTTCGCCCCTTTTCATATCACGCTAAGCCCCCTGCTATTCACGCTTTTCAATAGTATCTTTTCAACTTTTCGTCCATTCCTGGTTCGAAAAAAGAAAGTCCCTCAGGGCCAAACCCTGGTCCTTTCACAATTGCTATAAAAAAAAAGCAGGAGAACTCCCGAAATCCCTGGACAGTGACTTTGAAACGAGGTGTCCCCGGCAGTTTATTTGTCGGATCCATGTTTTCAAAGGCAAAAGAATTGAAGAGAAAGAAAGAAAAAAGAAACAGAAAAACTGTTGATAAATCGTTTCTTGTTGTATGTTTCATCTTTAAGGGGTATATAGACTACAAAAGAGCCAACTATATATTTCTCTGCAGATCTACAAGAGGCGAAGTATTGTAGTATATCCAGGAACGGATCAAGGATTCTCAATGTTCCCAAGTTTTCCGATATATCAATTTTGTCTTTCGCATTTGTGCGAAGTATTTACCCGTCGAAAGAAGAAGTTTAATAATGTATTTCATTTATCTATACTTGCTTTATTCAGAGCTCTGCACTTTTAACTTCTCACATAAAAATCCTTGAGGTTCACACGCGTAATTGAAGCACGGCGCATTCAACATTTTATCCAAAATATTTTTGGAACAGTTAAGTCATCCGAAAATAAAGAAAGGCAAATAGATAACAAAGCATTGCTTTCGTTTTAAATCATTGTATTTTCTGGAGGGAACATGGTACCACATAGTGGTTCCAGGTTTCTTGAGTTCTCGTAGGATAAATTACTAACTGTAGAACCAAAAATGGCTGTATAATGGAAGATAAAAAAAAAAGGGAGAATATCTATTGATTCAAGTTTATGATGATGAAGTTACTAACCGTACACTCTCAGAAAAAATTGGTTCAATAATATCGTGCAAATTAGTCTTAACCTTAAAGAAAGTTTTAAACCATGTTTACGTTGAACCATGACATCGTGTGATCAAGTTTGTGTGATGGTTTCAATTGCAAAATAATGGGTTTCACCTTGGCTCTAGATTCAGATAGCAGCGAATTTCCATGACTTCTAAGTCAAACTCGCACGAGAAATCATAAACAGTGTCGATGTGACGGTTTCAGTTGTAAAAGATTAGAGAATTGAATGATATGAATCGTGTTCAGATACTTAGGATTCTTAAGAAGAGTAAGGAGAAACATCAGTGTAGGATATACCCGGCAAATGTATACCAGTCAGCGGCACGGAACCTTAAAAAAAACATTGATGTAGGGCATACCGGGCAGTGGCACTTAACTAGACTTTGTATATATTTCAAACATTTACTAAAGCGGCTATGTGATTGTTAAACCCAACACAATTCGGTCATTCACAGTACATGCTATTAATTTCTCAAAATACATCAATGCACTTAATTGTATGAATAAACAGCAAAGAATTTACTAATAAAATAAGATATAATTAAGTGAGTAAGATTGCAATGATGTGGTAAACAACGCTTTATCCATTTGTAAACAAAGCCTATTTGGCGAGAAACGTCAGTGGATTGGCGAATTTGATGCTGTTTTTAAGTTTTAATCAAACCTTATAAAGTTATCGAAACATTTTATAAAATACATATATATAAAATATATACATGAGTGCCGTCATCAATTAGTCAGCGCATCTGAATGCTAATTGCAAATTATGTTTTTTGCGCATATTCAGAAGGAATTAAAAAAAAAATTTTTTTTTTTGCTTGGTTAACCAATTATATTGAATTACTCGTCCACACGTAAACATCGAATATAATAAAAATCCAGAAAAATAACTATAGTTTAATTAACGTTTGTGAAGCTGAATATTAAAGGATTTTCTCTTAATTGCTATTTAAATCATAAATTGCAAAAGACAGTTACTTATAGAATAACACAAAAAAATTCAACGATTTAAGCAATCATCTCAGGGTAAAGTGCCCTCAACGAATTGTGGGTTTCAAACTTAAAAAGGTAGTGTCATTAAGCGTAGAATTCGTTTTTTTTTTCCTTGTACTTTAACTATGAATATTTACTCCGTCGTAAGTTGTCTTAACGCAGTGGATTTCAGATTTTTGTTGGTATTCATTTTACTAGGCGATACATCCAGAAATATCAATATTTTCACCGTACATCGTGTGATACGATAAGTATCCAACATACAATTTTCGACAGCTATTTTATCGTGATTACTACCGACAATGATAGTATTGCGCTTATTATCGATGCCAAGTACGATATCATCGAGAGTATTGATGAGTTTTATTTGGGTGATGAAAATCTTAAACTATTCCCGCAACGGCCCGTTGTGAGCCAGAGGGATTATGGTTGCATACAGGGAGTAATATAGGGGATCTATGGTTGCATAATTTCAAGACCAACAACACGATTGTATTAATGTGGTCGGCATTAGGCACAGGCCGCTTCTACTTCCCTGACGATCTAGTACGCATCGATCTGAAGCAGGATGACTTCAAACCGCCCCTGAGTATCGAGCCTTAGTTCTTCACAATGGCAGTAGCTTAGTGCCTTTAACCACTGAACCATCGCGGCTCGACGAAATATTGACTAATGCAGATTAGAACTATTGGGAAAATATGAGCTATCTCTCCTTATGTTTCTATACATTCCAATAGATAATTTCGTTTAATTAACGCAAATGTTACTTTAATTAACGAAATTGCTTTTTTGAAATTGAACAAAAAATTTAACTTCATTACAAATTTGTTTTGTGTGATATATTTAAAATACATGTTTCATTTTCCCTCTTAGGTTTCATAACATTGTTTCCTTCCTTGGCGTTTCCAATTCTCCTATGCGGAAAAATTGTAGGTGAGTTGAGGCACAGGCCTCTTTCGTTCTTTATTCTTTCCAGTTAACTCTTTCATCATATATGTCTCATTTTTTAAAATTTAATGCTGAAATTATTTTTTACAAAATAAAATCAACAATGAATGCCAACCTGTAAACACATGTATGAATCGAATATTACCTAATTGGTATCCATTGGTATTTTAAACTTTAGAGAAAGGTGAGTTGAAGTAAAGATCCAGTAAGTCATGAACTCTCAAATGCTGACAATAACGTTTTCAAAATATCAAAGCACTAACGAATTATGGCAGAATTACTTCTCTACTGCATTATAATGTCATACTTTGTTTTTATTTTGATATCAAAACACTAACAAATTAGTCCCGCAGTGGACTCATCGTTAAGACACGGTTCCCAGCAGATCACCGAAGTAAAGCATCATTGTCTGCGGTCAGTGTGGGGGTGGGTGACCACTTGGATCAGTCTGCGTAGGAGCCGAGGGTGTGCTGCACTGGTCCTCGTTAAACTGCTCTACTGTAAAGTGCTCGACTTCGCTTGCAGGTCGTCGGGCTACCGAAGCAGGGGTGCCATTCTCTCTGCCGAGCATCGAAATTGTGATGGCATGTCTGCGCATCATCCTCAGGGATGTTTCCCAGACTGTCACCAATAGCCCATTGAGCAGCTCTAGTGCGACATAAATAAACTAAAACAGCAACTAGCAAATTATGACAGGATTTTCCCCTCTACATTATTATGTAATACTTTTTTTGTATTTTGAAATCAAAACACTAACAAATTATGGTAGGATTACTTCCCCACTGCATTATTATGTCATAATTTGTTCGTAGTTAGATATTTTGAGGAAAAAAATTTTTCATCGTGTGGTATCTCGTGGTTAATTCTACGTTTTGCCTTAAGTTAAACACGGATACTGCAGTGGAGTGATCGTAAAGACGCAGTTCCCAACCGAACACCGTAATCAAGCATCACTTTCTGCGATCAGTAAGAGAGTGTATGTCCACTTGGATCAGCCTGCGTAGGAATGAGTGTGCGCAGTATCGGTCCTCGTTAAAACTGTTTTACCGTAAAGTGCTCGACTTCGCGTGCAGGTCGTCGGGCTACCGCAGCAGGGGTGCCATTCTCTCTGCAGAGGATCAAAATTGTGATGGCATGTCTGCGCATCATCCTCGGGGATGGTTCCCAGACTGTCTCCAATAGTCCATTGAGCAGCTCTAGTGCGACGTAAATAAACTAAAACAACAAGTAACAAATTATGGCAGGATTTTCCCCTCTGCATTATTATGTAATACTTTGTTTGTATTTTGATATCAAAACACTAACAAATTATGGTAGGATTACTTCCCCACTGCATTATTATGTCATAATTTGTTCGTAGTTTGATATTTTGAAGGCAAAAAAATTTTCATCATATGGTATCTCGTGGTTAATTCTAAGTTTTGCCTTTTGTTAACCACGGATACTGCAGTGCAGTGATCTAAAAAACGCAGTTCCCTGTAGTACGCCGTAATCAAGCATCACTTTCTGCGATCAGTAGGAGAGTGTATGACCACGTGGATCAGCCTGCGTAGGGAACGAGGGTGCGCAGTATCGGTCCTCGTTAAAATTGTTCTACCGTAAAGTGCTCAACTTAGCGTGCAGGTCGTCGGGCTACCGAAGCAGAGGTTCCATTGTCTCTGCAGAGGATCAAAATTGTGATGGCATGTCTTCGGATCACCCTCAGGGATGTTTCCCAGACCGTCGCCAATAGCTTTAGTTTAATGTAAATAATGTACCTACCTGAAGTTAACCACTAACTCAGTTTTCTCTAAACACCCTCACTGAACTCACTTTACTCTAACCTTTAAACTCACTTTTCTTTAAATTTTAAATCACTTATATAGATGAATAAAAATTTGCCATGATCTGACTCCCCTTAAAAAGGTTCGACCATTTGAAAAGTCAATTAACATTTTGCATAAGGCTGGTTTAACTGATGGTCCAGAATGCTATCAGGCGCCGTAAGCAAAAGAAATAGAAAAATTCTATTTTTAACGATTTTGTTAATGTAAAGGCTTATCGCAAAAAAATGATTCTGATGACTTGACTATTTGTAGCAAGAGCAGTCTAAGAAGGAATAAATTTTCATAGCAATTGGAATAGTGTGACATTGTTTTACTTTTGAAATATATTTTCAGCTGGGAAGAGAGATAAGGAGCCAAATCTTGTGCGGATGGGATCCCTGAACAGTAAAGTTAAGAAGGGATCTGTTCTCTCTGCAAGTGGACGAGCAATTACTCGAATGAAGAGTTGGGGATCTGCTGACAACATACAAGATAGAGTATGTATCATACCTTAAACATGCTTAAAATCGCGTGATTTTATTGTGCTCATTAGATCTTTTGTCTGACTCGAGGTCGAATCCTTGACCACCAGATTTCAGCGAAGGGTGTGATCTACGTTCAAAGGTAATGTTGTTCATGAAGACCAGTCCCGCAGTGGTCTGATCATAAAGACACGGTTCCCAGTAGAACACTGAAGTCACGCATCACTGGCAGTAAGCGGGTGAGTAACCACTTTGATCTGCCTGCATAGGGACCGAGGGTGTGCGGTATCGGTCCTCGTTAAAATTGTTCTATCGTAAATTGCTCGACTTTGCGCACAAGTCGCCGGGCTACCAAAGGACAGGATCAAAATTGAGATGGCATATCTTCTGATCATCCTCAGGAATGTTTCTCAGACCGTCGCATATAGCTCATTGTGCAACTCTAGTGCGACGTAAATAAAGCACCTACCTCCAATCAAGACCAAAATATAGAATCAAATAATCTTATTAATCCTTTAAATACCAAGTACAGGGGTCTGTTTCACAAAATATCTTTTCATAAAAACGGACCCTTCACAAAATATTTTAACTTAAAAACGGGCTCTTCTCAAAATAATTTTTCTTTTAATCGGACCCTTCACAAATTTGTTTATCTTTATCATCATTTTGTTAATCGAATAAACCCTTTCCAGAGCAGAAAACAAGAAAGATGGATGTAAACGAATTAAGTTTTGTCTTCGACAAACGATTCTTCCATTATTCGTCCAAAAGGAATATTCTGCGTTCAGCAGTATAGGCTAAGTGCCAAATATTTGTATGTTTCATATCTAATTTAGAAGCAGCAATTGCTGTTTATTTTTGAAAATTTAATTTTTTTTATTATAATTTTACAGTGCCGAGCATAATCTTGTATCTATTTACAATTTAAAAACTCCTTGAAAAAGTTTTTTGCAATAACCGGACCCTATTTGCACAAATTCATAAAAGCGGACCCTGATTGAAAGAATGTGAGTAATTTTTTCACAATTTAACGAAAAACGGACCTTTCACAAATTGTCTGGACAGACCCCTGAAGTATAAGTTAGGTTAATTTTTCGCACTGTTACCCGCGTTTCTTTGTACTATTCAATGTCAACCTGGCAGGAAATTTTTTATACAAGTCAGGCAATTGCTGTTTGAATTATTAGAATCATAACTACGAGGTTATTACTTCCTTGTTATTCAATACCGTAGGATAGCTTGTTATTCATATTCGTAGGATTTGTTAACGTCATCAGATCGCTGCTAATTTGAACGAATTGAATCAAAGTTTGTTCTGACCGATTATAACGATAACTCCTTCAGATACCAGACTTGCGTGCTGCCGATTGTTGTGGTTACGAAGAAAAGTGATTTTAGAAGAGATGTGTGGGTAACTGTTTTGCTTTAGTTTAGATTGAGTCATTTCTTTGAATAAGTAGTTTTACTCTTGTTTCCATAGCATCAGACAACGTAAGACCTTCAGTCGGGAGGAGTTCTCATGATATTTGGACAGTACCTTTGTATATTGGTGCGATTCGTGCAGGAAATTTAAACATAATTATGATTAAAATTATCGATATTATTGAAATAATTTGTGCAGAAGATTTCACCAATATTTAGGATTCTAAGTTCGATTTTATGTTGTTTTCATGAGCCAGTTTCTCTAAAAATATAGTTCAGAAACTTGTGTCATTAATCATTTTTTTTACTATGTAAACCCAGTTTCTCTTACAATATACTAAACCTGTAGTATCATGAATCAATTTCTCTCACAGTATAGTTAACTAGTTGTGTCTTGAACGAGCGTTTCTAACTATAAACCATTAGTAAAGAAACTATCAATGTCATGAACCAGTTTCTCTAACAATATAGTTTAGAAACTTGCAGTATCATGAACCAGTTTTCTTACAATGTTTTAAAGAAACTTGTTGTGTTTTGTGATAATGTTATGTATCACAAATTCATACTCTCCTTATTTTTTTTAATTTTTTTTTACTTTTGGCCTTTTAACTCTTAATTGATGTAACACAATTGCACAAATCAACACCGGAAACAAACTGTCACATGTTTATAAACCAGTTTCTTGTACAGTAGTTTAGAAATCTGTGTTATGAACCAGTTTCTTGCATAATATAGTTCAGTAATTGTATCTGTCATAAACTAGTTTCATCTGGCTAAAAAACTTATAATGCCATGAACTATTACGAGCATTTCATTGTGCAGTTTCTCTCACAATATAGTGGAGAAACTTGTGTCATGAACCAGTTTGTTGAACAATATAGTCTCGAAACTTCGAGTGCTTATCATGAACTGGCTCCTTTATCAATAAACTGAAGAAATGTGTCGTTTTTATGTACCAGTTTATCTAACAATCTAGTTAAGAAACTTGTAGTGTCTGTCATGAACTGGTTCCTCTATCAATATACCAAAGGAACTTGTTGTGCCATGATCCAGTTTCTCTTACAATAAACTAAATTAACATGTAGTGTCTATCATGAACTGGTTCCTTTATCAGTATACTAAAGTAACTTGTTGTGTCATGAACCACTTTTTCTTACAATAAACTTGTAGTGTCTATCATGAACTGGTTCCTTTATCAATATACTAAGGGAACTTGTTGTGTCATGATCCAGTTTCTCTTACAATAAACTTGTAGTGTATGTCATGAGCTGGTTTTTTTATTAATATACTAATGGAACTTGTGTCATGAACCAGTTTCTCTTACTATAAACTTGTAGTGTATGTCATGAGCTGTTTTTTTTTATCAATATACTAATGGAGCTTGTGTCATGAACCAGTTTCTCTAACCATATAGTAAAGAAACTTCAGTGCCATCCATCATAATAAATGACACCGAGAGAAAAAAGTGTCAGCGATTTTCTTTTGACAGTTCTTTAGTATTGCATCTGTCTCATCTACTTATACATACGTAATTTATATCCATAAAACATCGATTGCAATTACTTTGATGAGGGGGTTCATCCATTCAAGGAGTGTATCGAATTTTCTTCTCAGATTGAAAAGAATCACTTCTAAGAGCCTCATTGGAATTCTATTTCAGTATAAACTGTTGCAGAGAAGAAAGAAATCAAGACTGGACGGAAATATAAAAGAAAACAATAAATCACGGCTCTCTCTCTTTACTTTGATTCTTTTCCTCGAATTCGAAACTACCGTTCTTCATCGGGAATCGAACCCCGCGCCAGCTCATTAGCTAAAGCGAATCCGATAAGTGCTTCTAACCTTTCTCCAGACAAAGAAAAAGGAGAAGAAGGGAAAAAAAAGAAGGGGGGACTGGGGACGATGAGTTAAGAAAATCAAAGGAGTTGTGGCAGAGGTAAATATGCAAATGAAGTTTTTTTAAATATATATATATATATAATAAGACTCCGGTAGTTGCTACAAACGGGGTCGAAGAAGTTACGTAATGAATTTTTCATGGATTCCTTATTTTTCCCTGAGAGATAGGGAAGGAGGAATCGGGTGGTGTGGAATTTCTGGAAGATATCTGTATAAAAAATGGCGTTAGGAAAAGGCGCGGCAATCATTAGAACGTAGGCAGTTGCCGACAGAGATTAATGGCTGCCTCTTCAATCTGGCGGCCGCAAAAACAGCTTTCGTTGTTTTCGGCAGAGGGGAAGGTAGTTATCTGGTCGAGCAAGCCTTTACAGCCTGAACAAGGCGAGCCTAATCAATGCCCCCTTCCTTCTTTAAAAGAGGGAATATTTTTTTTCAATATTTATTTATTTTATTTTTTTTAATTCTTCTACTTCCTTTATCTTTGTTCTCTATTCTTCTCCTTCTGGGTTCTTTTATTTCCTTACTAGCGGTGGAAATGTTTTACGCTGTTGTTGACAAAGTGAGAACCATCTATTTTTGCCCTCTTTTTTATTTATTATTTATTGCCTTATTTAATTTATTTATGGAAGTGAGAAGGGGGTAAAAGTTTTATAATTATGTTTTTTCCGTCAGAAAAGGGAGCAGAAACAATTAATAGGAAGCTTATTATTTCTGAAAATTTCTTTTTAAATGGAAATTTTTTTTTTAAGAACAATGACCTTCAACACCCCCTTTTATTTGTTATCTTTATGGGATTAATCTAGTGGGAGGACCTAAAATTTAATCTGAAAAATTATTTTATCAGTACCCTTTTTTTAACCAATGGAATACTTGAGATATGTTTATCACGTGTTAACAAATTTTAATCAGTGATTAAAGAAATTCGCGGATTCCCTCCGCTTATGTATGCAAGTAAAAATAATGGAAGAACATGTTTTCGAAAATCCACAAATTTTCGTGTCCAACTATATATATAAAAATCTAATGATGGTGACACAGTTTTCCATTGTTGACAGTGCATTTTTATGGGTCGGGAAATCACATGGTAGGATCCAGTTTTCCCACATTCATTTTCATATTGGTTTGGTTGTCATCAGCTTAAAATTGATATAAGTCATTAAGTTATTGTTTTTTATAAATATTTTGGTATCCCTAATTTAAAGTTATTTTCCTGTACTATTATTACGTTTTTAATTTTGTTTGTTTTCTAAATGAAGAGTTTAAGAGGAATGTTATTATTATTATCAAAAACACGTGCTTTACATTTTAAGATATTTAAATCGGTGTCCGATCCGGTCTTATTAACCCTTTTACAATTATAATTTTTTGGTGCAAATATGAATTAAGGTTAGAGAGATTTGTTTAATGAATTAGAGCTAACTTTTCGCTTCATGCACACAAAGTGCAAACATTGTATTTAAAATATATCCGTCCGTTTGGTAAGAGCAAAAATATTAAATGACCGTTGTGAACTCACCAAATTTGTTACAATAATATACTTTTAATTATAAATGATATAGTACACAAGTGTTCTCTTAGCACATCTATATTTAGTACAATAATTTCAACTATTTTATGCCAAGAAACAACAATTATTGCGAAGCAATCAGCAAACAGAGAGCTCAGCCCCTAGTATTTTTTTTTAATTATAACTATTACATAAAATTTAACTCGTTGAAGATATTGTTTTTCAACTTTTTATTTCTCCAAATGTCTGTGGCTGTGGGTTCGAGTCCCACTTAAGGCATGGATATTTCCCTCTATGTTATCCTCTGTTGTGTGAATGTGGCCCATCCTATGAACGAATATCTATGGCAATGAGGGGTGGGTAATGTTGCTCATATTCGTGACATTAGTCACAAGGTGCTCACCAAGCAAAGCAGAATAAGCAACACAACATCCGGCACCATATATATATATATATATATATATATGATGAAAATCGAATATAATTTAAGTATAAA